TCTTGAAAAAATTCACTTCAGATAGTTGATATTCTTCAAATACTGTCTGTGCTGACATCTTACTATCCTTTGAAATATATCCGTATCTCTATATAACCGTTCTCGTCACGATATCGTTGAAATACTGCCGATATGACGTTACATTAATATACCTCTAGATCTCCTCCTCATATATTTGTTTACATCCGTGGTCTAGCTGTTAGAGCGTCTGCCAGGAGAGCGGAAGGTCGTGGGCTTGATCCCCGGTACTGTGTCTGAGTGACGTATTCTGCGTAACTGCGGCATGGTATCTCAGTGGGCTAGCACTATCAATCGGGATTAATCCGGACTAGTTAAAACATCCACACACGCACACAAACACGCGCACACACGCGCGCACACACACGCACACACACACACACACACACACGCACACACACACACACACACACACACACACACACACACACACACACACACACACACACACACACACACACACACACACACGCACGCACACACACACACACACACACACACACGTGCACGTACGTCGCTATATAAGTGCAATAATCTTAAACCCCATTTCATCCCACATCACCTCAAATATTGTTTGATATAGATTTGATATAATTGATATAAAAAATCAATATACTTATCGAAGCCCTACCGTGCTTTTTCCCTTGTTGACGCACAGAATAAATGGCTGCTGTAATATCTTTTCTTCCGGATGGCACCTGCGGTCTGGCTGTCAGCCCTGAACACTTGAGAGACCTTGGATCTTTCAACACCATCACACACTTCTTCTCACGGAGACACCGGATGATGCACCTCAATAAGCCCGCTGAACCATCATCTACAGACCAAGCGGTTTGATTAACCGTTTCCCTCGATATAGTCATGGTTGAATGCTCAAAGGTATACCTCCTCATAAAGGAGTGGTATGCCGATGTAGACACAACCAAAAGCAATACACCCAGCATTTTTGATGTGTGCTCTCGCGCTTCCTCTGCTTAGTGTGGAGGTAATGCTCCCTTTTGGAGCAGATATGATAATAAAAAGTATTCCGGGGAAGCTGATTTCAATTCATTCCTATCTAGTCTGTGAAATCTCCATTTAAAATTCACCAAATGTCAGGATTGAAACCGTAGATTAGGTCTTTCACTGTGTTTTGATATTGATTAATGAGTAGAGAAAAGAAGAAGAAAAGGTGAAAGCTGAAACATTCCAACATGTCATTTTACCTGTTCTTCATTATTAAACTGGCCAATTTATTACTTAACTGACAAATTCACACAGGCTCAGAGGTTCAAGGCAATTTGTAAAAGCTGAAAGCAAGTGTCACTTGAAGTTTACGAATTGATACATCGGCATCGCTTTGGGCACCAACTGCGCGCCTTCCTTGCTTCCCATATGATGCACACACACAAATTACCCAATTTGTACAAGGAGAATTGATATCTTGAATTGCATCTAATTTATATGATATTGATGACAATATACAATGACACACACGCACACACGCACACATATTCGCGTACAAAAACACATTCGCACTTTTATAACATTTGAGTTTGTTCAATCCAATTCACAAATATGAAACATGCTGAAGTGAATTAGTTTCAGTTAGATGTAAAACTTCGGGCTTAACTTGGGACGTGTAGTATTATACTTTCCCTTATGAGCTATGTCTTGAAGTCTTCTATGCTGTACATGGTCACATACACATGGACTTCAATATCTTCGACCACACCACATAATGATTCATATGTCTCCAGCATGACTCCTAAATCCTCTATTCCTATCCTCTAACGATGCTAGGGGCGGTCGGGTAGCCTAGTGGATAAAGCGTTCGCTCGTCACGCCGAAGACCCGGGTTCGATTCCCGACATGGGTACAATGTGTGAAGCCCATTTCTGGTGATATTGCTGGAATATTGCTAAAAATGGCGTAAAACCATACTCACTCACTCACTCGTACGATGCTACCTGTGGAGAAGGACATGCTTACCCTTTTCGCGAACACCTAATGTCATCACGGAGTTTTCAGCCATCCATTCATATCAATGTCATCACTGTATTGCATTTTTTGCCCCATGAAAACTGTTTCGGCAGATATTCGGAACTGACCAAAATCTTGTGTTAACATTTGAATTTACAATAACAATATAGATTGACGACCCAGATATCCAGACTCTGAAATATATAAATATATGCCTATGGGAAAAACGGCCCCTATACCTCATGTTACTTCAAGATAAGAAAATGCCTGTGTATGTTTCATGAAGTATTCTAGGAAGAAATAACGTCTCCTAAATAAATCACCAGTGTAGAATGCATCTCGTGGGTGTGAAATGTTCTCATCTTGTTGATTGAGAGAGTATGGCTTAACGCATTGTCAGTCTTTACACTTTAGACGATTGGGCCGCCCGTGCCTTCATGGCAGTTGAGAAGGCCTTTTGTCAAGCATCAGATTTCAACAACGCATTGCGGCAGTGTGCTTTGTTCAATGTTTCAAGGCCAGCTGACACATTACCATTTGTACGAAACGCGCATTTACACTAATCCACCACGAACTTTGAACACATTATTCAAATATTTTCCTGACATGAATAACATATTAGTTTCTTATGTTGCAGATAGAAATTTGAAAAAATGACCGTTCTAATAAGGTAAACTAGTTACATGTATGCTATTTTAGATTGTAAAATTCTTCATACAATTGAGGGTGCACGGGTTGCCCAGTCGTCTAAGGCGCTGCAATTCGCTATGCAGAGTTGCCTCCCTTTGAAACGCCTGAAACCTATCATTAGTTTCGACTCGATTGCGTTTCTAGGTTTGTCAGCACCATACCCGTGCTCGTGGGTTTCAACAAAATGGTGAACATCTGAGACCTGCTTCACCAATATTAAGCTGACACGCCGTGATATAACAGTATCTGGAATAAAGTTTAAAGCGGCGTTAAACGCAACGCGCTCTTTCTCTCATACAATGGGACATCTTCCCGAGGCAAGAGTGTCCACAAGCCAATATCAAAAGTTTACACTCTTGCCTTTTCAAGCCAAATTTTCGTGACTCGATCAGCACGCTATGGCCACTTATTCCAACAATTCAGTTTCGAATTCTTTACTCATTTGTCGTACACTGTAATAGTGTCTTTTCATACATTTGAGTGTAAACTTCATTGTATTTTAACTCGAATGACTGAACGCTTATTGCAGTGACTGTGATGCTGAACTATTTGTAGACGACTCCTGCTGAGTATATTATTTAAAGGGATGTGTAGCGTCACTTGATACAGACCGGTGAAGATCCGGGTTAGAATTGATCTTCAGCAAGCCATGCTTGTCGTAAGAGACGACTAAAGGGATCGCTGACCTGTGGTGATGCATGTCATCGTATCCCATTTGCGAGCCTGGTCCAGACTCAATTATCTTTTAGACCGCCGTCATATCGTTTGAATATCGCTGAGTGCAGTGTTAGACAACAAACAAAAAGAACTTGACACAGCGCAGCCTTTGAGTCTCAATTACTGTGAGACCGAAATGCAGCAGTAATAAGTACCTTTACTGTGGTAATCTGTCAATTTTGTTTGTTTGTCAAGGACGAAATCTCGAATCTTCTATGGTAGTCGCCATCTTTATGAAGCCATTCAAAATAAGAACAGCGATCTGATTGGATATCGCGTTTTCATTAAAGGAGCTACGGTCGTGGATTCGGCGCATTATAAATATGCACATAAACAATATTATCATGTCCGTGTCAATGTTTGCGTCTTTGCAATGTGTTACATCGTCCTTTGTGCCTTTGTGATCTAATCTACACTGGGTGGCAAAGATCGAGTCACGAAAAGACGGCTTGAAAGGGTAAAGGGTAAAACTATAATTTGATATCAGCTAGTGGACACTCTAGCCCCGGGAAGAGAGAATGGACAAACAAAAATAATACGTTTTTCTTCAATTATATGTGTTAAAACTCATGTGAATGACGTGATGTTTAATTAGATTGAAACTATATTAGTACAGAAATCCTAATGGCCACGTCCCGAACGTTCTTCTTTGGGCTATTTCGCTCCCCTGATTCGTTTATCCAGAAAATTATTAATCTGGGTTTTGGTTAATCCGGACATTTTCACTGAGTATGGAACCTTCTTATTCATATTGAAAAAAAGGTTAAAGAAACTGTATGATAGTGTGTAATTTATATAAATTCTCAGGAACACATCTATTTTTGCACGTATGTACACGTGCAAAAAATAGATGTGTTCCTGAGAATTTGTACGCATGTATGTACGTCTCGACAAATATGGTTTCATTCATCTGCACCGTGCCTTATACTAATTACTAAATTAATACAAAACCTGCTACACCAGTGTGCTCTATTGCCATCTTCGTTATCGTAGAACAAAACGCTATGCAGATTACCGATTAAATACCATAAAGCGACACAAAGGACTATGTAACGCATCGCAAAGACGCAAACATTGCCACGGACATGATATTATTGTTAATGTGCATATTTATAATGCGCCGAATCCACGCCCGTAGCGTAATCAAAGCCTACATTTTCAGCCCGGTCAGAGGATCAGTGTGTACTTCTTTCTCAGCTCCCTGTGGAGTATACAATCCATGCTGCCTGTGAGACGCTAGAAGCTAAACATCCATATCACATTACCATATCCTACCGGGTACCTATTCACTGCTGAAAGACTCATTTCGAATTAAGTCACATGCCTAAGCAGTAATCACTTGTGCTACAGGTGCATCAGTGTGGGACAAGACCAAAGCTCTGGAAACCTTCAGGAGTTTAGCTGCCTAACGCGGTCACCCATCCAACTACCAGGATGTTAAAGCAGAAATAGAATTCAATCTGACCCACTGAAAAGCCGTCAAACATGGACACAGACGCCAAGCCCAGCCATGGGGTCTTTTCTCATTTCACAACAACTGCAGTTTATAAAACACAACGTTTTATTAGTCATACTCAATTAGTACAAGTATAAACTGTGATCATGTGATTGCTGGTAAAGAGGTGGTAAATGTAGTTACTGACACATCATCTTTTTGTTCATTGGTCCCGGTTGACAACGAAGGGTCTCACAACATTTCATGGAGTTCTCACCGGTAATCTTGCATTCCTCATTACGGCTGCGGCACTGAAATACAAGCAGAGGAACCATAAATTGAGTATTAACAGAACCTCTCAGGGGGCTAGCACTATAACACCAGCGTAAGTCTGCATGGCTGAACTAGAACAAGCAGCCACACATATAAATGCACACACAAAAGCGTCGTTAAACCCATTTCAGCACCACATTTTTAGCGATATGAGCATAAAACGATGAGCATGTCCGTCCGTCCGCCTGTTTCCCGTTTCTCCTAAACCGTTGAATATTTCTTGTTGAAGCTCGCTATACAGATCAGTCTAGTGGTGAAGAAGCCTATTGATAATTTGGGATAGTTAAACAAATTGTTTTTATGTTTTTGTAATGACGAGAAGATGCACCTGTACAGAAAACGAGGGTAGTACTCGTTTCCAGGACAGAACTCCAAAAGTCTTGAACATTTCTGAATAAAACTGTCTGTACAGATCAGTAGGGTGGTGAACGGGCGCCTTTTGATGATTTTGGGATATCAAAAAATACTGAACAGCATTAGCTTTGCTTCAGTGAACTGAAGGTATCCAATGGCAATGAACTAAAAGTGGGGTATTAAAGCCAAACTCCATTTCTGAATTGCCCAATAACAGGGGATAAGTCATCTCCTGATGACTCTTGTTTTATTAGTGTACGCCCAGAGTGTCTTCATTAACATGATTGTAGTATGCAAACCACCTCTGCACTTCACTGAGGATGTACCGGAAAGTCGTTAACGTGTTCATACATGGCAGTTAATCATATTTTAATACCTATAGTTCCCTACAACGATTTTGATCATAAGTCATAAGAGGTTCGTTGCTTCTAACTGATACTGATTACATATTATGTATCGTAAGCATTGGTGCATTTGTACTATCTGTAGAACAGTTTAGAAATGTTCAGGATGAATACTCACTCCACCGTTACCCCAGTTTCTCTCGCATCTCGTTACTCCGTTACTTCCCCGACACGAGAGCCCAGCACAGCAACCGTTGGAGTTTCCCATCTCACATCTCTGCCACATATTCTTGCACTGAAAGGATAAACATGACAGGTAATATTTCCTTATCGCCGTTCCAAATTAAGCCGCTAGATAACCTAGCTGTACACTGCAACACAGTTTATTTATCTCCTAATTATTTCAACCATCCAAACTTCTGACTAAATAATAAAATTAAATCAAAACATACAATACCATCAAGTAAATGACCATCTACTGACACAACCAGAAAACACCAATGCCTTTAGCACACATGTATAGCGGTAAATGTATACTATCATATGTGAGTGAGTGAGTGAGTTGGGTTTAACGCTGCTTTGAACAGTATTCCAGTCATATCACGGCGTGTCAGCTTAGTGTTGGAGGAAAGCCGGACGTCTCAGGCACGAGTATGGTGCTGACAAACCTGGAAACATAATCGGGTCGAACCGGGATTCGAATTCATCGATTTCTGGTGTGCCCAAGAGACGCAACTCATAATAGCGATTTGACGTCTTGGCCACCCGAAGTAACAGGGACAAGAATCGTTCTTGCATCGAACCCAGTCTTAAACAAGTTATAAACATTGATCGGCGGTACCGCTGGCTCAATGGTCAAACACACAACAGTTGTCGGTGTAGGGTTACGTCCCTTAACCGTCCCTCGTTATGGAAGTCTTTCCTCCCACATTACGTTAACACGTCGTGATATAACTGAAAGATTGTCTAAAGCACACTTACACACTCACTACTAATTGGCCAAGCATCAAATAGATGCAGGCTTGTTACATATTGTTAAAGACATCGTTTTTTGAAATGGTAACTTAAGGTGTACTCACGACACCCACTAAATACGTCTCCTGTCGAGCCATGGCAACAGCTACAAGGAGGAGGAAGACACCAGTCCGGGCGGTATTCATGGTTGCTGACGAGTTCTTAGCCTGAAAGTTCAGTTCAGTTGATAATGTTCTGAATCACTCCCTTCAAAGAACATGCGACCGCTTTACCCAACAAAAATTGTATTTAATCCCATAAACATTGAGACACGCAGAAGTTTCCGTTGATTATGAGTGTCTTTTTGTTGTTGTTCTTTTTTATGTTGTTGTTGTTGCTGTTTTTTTAAACCGCACTCAGCAATATTCCAGCTATGTGAAGGCGGCCTGTAAATAATGGAGTCTGGACCAGACAATCCAGTTATTGACATAATGAACATCGATCTACGCAATTGAGGTACGATGACAACCTTCAACCAAGTCCTGACCAACCGATGACGTCGCCTCTTACGACAACTATCTTGGATTTTTACTTACGGTATACGTGTTCATGTGGGGTTAGTACTTTTGCTCTCTGATTGGTCAATCTCACTTTGGGGCATAATAAAACAAAACATCAATGAATCGAACTGTTTACCCTTACCTTGTATGCTCGTCTGTGAGAAGGATATGGATACAGAAAACGTGCCCCTTCCCTTTTTTATACAGAACAGGTAATCTGATATCTACAGAGTGAGTGAGTGAGTGAGTTATTATTTAACGTCACATGGGCAATATTTCAGCCATATCGTGACGAGAAATTACATTTATGATACATTTATGATACATATATTTAAACTGAATAAAAAGCTGTCAACGAAGGACAGTAGAATAACTAGAATATCACAGACTTGATTTAAAACTAGTTGAGAATATTAAAAGGCAGTAAGCATTAATGAACATCACAATTTAAAAATGGGCTAGAAATCGTCAGCAACTGAAGGGAGATCACCATACTGGGGACCATGGGGACTTACAGTACTTTTGCCTCCTGCATGGACCCCGGCAGGATTTATATCATCCCTTCAGTCACTGGCGACAGTGTACCAGTTAAGCCTTAGATTAAAATAACGAAGATACTACGTTTAAAAGCCTAGTGTGCAGAAAAATACTTCGAATGATTTGGGACTTACATACCCTCTTAGGGGGACAATAATTTTACGCTACTTCAACCCCCCTCAAGGGTACAGCCACTAACAATCTAAGTTATGAATTTCGCACTACCAATTTGTAAAACAATACATTGAACACATCAAAATTTATGAAAAAGCTCTATTTCCTTTAAAAAACATAATATTAAACGAGAATTAACATCATTAAAAAGGTCCTTAATTGTTTTTACATTGAAATATTTATCCCTTGCGATGGAAAAATCAACACAGTCAAGCAGGACATGCTTGACCGTGATTCTTTCATCACAAGGGATACAAAACGGAGGATCCTCACCTTGTAATAAATATTCGTGCGTATATCTGCTGTGGCCAATACGACATCGTCGCATAATGACCTCTTCAAATCTGGACTGACAGCCCAAGTAGGTGTAACCGATATTTGGTTTAATTTCATGTAATTTATTGATACCTACTTGGGCGTCCCACTTCTGTTGCATAAGATCTCTGATGTAAGATCGAATCAAGGGTTTAAAATCAGTGTATGGGATCAGAAGTGGTGTCACAGATTTGTTGAGGGCTGCTTTTGCAGCAGCATCGGCCATTGTGTTACCTTTGATACCAACATGGCTTGGTAACCAACAAAAGACGATGTCATATTGGCCAGTAGCAAGATCATTAAATAACTCAAGAATTTGGATTAAAAGTGGATGTTTTGAAGACATATTTTTAATTGCCTGAAGACATGAAAGAGAATCTGAAGCCAGTATGAATTGTTTATGTTTAGATTGATTACTGATATATTTAAGTGCTGTAAAAATGGCGTTTGCTTCTGCAGTGAATATTGAACTGTTATCAGGTAAACGGGAAGAGATTGTTCTGGATCCAATGACAGTGGCACTAGCAACTGTGCCACCATCCTTGGATCCATCGGTAAATATAGATTTATAAGTGTCATAATTGTTTCTAAGTTGGTGGTATTCTTGTTGGTATATTAATTGGTTAGTATCTGATTTCTTAAGTTTGGTTAATGTCAGGTCTACCTCTGGCTTTACCATTTGCCAAGGAGGAGAGGAGAAAAGTTGAGTAGGAGCTATATCTTGGAGTTTAATATTTGAAGCTGATATTGCAGATTTTATTCTAATTCCGAGTGGTGGATGGAGTGCCGATTTCTTATTGTAAAGATCTTCGTAGAGAGGATGGAATATACATTCAAAAGCTGGATTTGACGGATTAGAATATAATTTAGTGATGTATTGTAGAGATAATTTTAGTCGGCGTTGTTTAAGAGAAGGCTCATCTGCTTCTATATAGAGACTGTGAATGGGAGACGTTCTGAAGGCTCCAAGACAAAGCCTCAGACCCTGATGATGTATCGTATCTAGTTTTTGTAAATTACTTTTGCAGGCTCCACCATAGATGATGGAGCCATAATCAAGTTTGGAACGAATTAGTGACCTGTACAAGTGTAAGAGGGTTGTTTGATCCCCTCCCCACTTTGAATTAGAAACAACTTTTAATAGATCGAGTGCCTTCAGGCATTTAGCTTTGAGGTATTTAATATGCGGGAGAAAAGTTAAGTGATGATCAAAAATAAGTCCCAAGAACTTGGCTTCCTTAACAACTTTGATAGGAGTGCCATTCAGAAATAGTTCAGGGTCCTTATGCGGTTTATATTTTCGGCAGAAATGCATGCAATTAGTTTTTGATTTGGAAAATTTAAACCCGTTTTCTAGACACCACTTGTTAATTTTATTAAGACATAATTGTAATTGCCTTTCAATTGTGTGCATATTTTTACCCCGACAAGATAGATTAAAATCATCCACAAAAAGTGATCCATCAACTGAATCATTTAAAACTTTTGACAAACTGTTAATTTTTATACTGAATAAAGTGACAGACAAAATACTGCCTTGTGGGACACCCTGATCCTGATTATAATGATCAGACAGGGTTGTACCCACTCGGACTTGAAATTGCCTGTCTGTTAAAAACTGGGATATAAAATGAGGCAGACGGCCTCTTAATCCAAAATCATGAAGATCTTTTAAAATACCATGTTTCCATGTTGTATCGTAAGCTTTTTCTAAATCGAAAAAGATCGATACAGCATGTTGTCTATTTACAATGGAATTTTTAATGAACGATTCTAAACGCACTAAATGATCGATAGTACTTCTATTTTTCCGGAAACCACATTGTATATTGGAAAGAAGATTATTTGTTTCCAAGTACCACACTAATCGATTATTTACCATGCGTTCCATCGTTTTACAAACACAGCTAGTTAAAGAGATAGGTCGGTAATTTGATGGATCAGAATGATCCCGCCCAGGTTTGGGAATGGGGATAACAATGGCTTTATGCCATGAAGCTTGAAACATCCCAGATGTCCAAATATCATCGAATATATTTAACATAGTTTCAAGGCATGATTCGGGCAAGTGTTTCAGCAGCTGATAATGAATATTATCAGCGCCTGCTGCTGTATCATGAGCTTGCCCTAAGGCAGTATATAGCTCATGTAGTGAAAATACCTCATTGTAATCTTCACCATTATCAGATGTAAAATTTACTTTTTTCTTTTCCTGTTGAAGCTGATATTTTTGAAATTCAGGAGCGTAATTAGATGAAGAAGAATGATGAGATAAAGTTTCACCAATGCTATTGGCAATGGCAGATTTATCAGTTAACAAAGTATCGCCATCCTTCAGATGGTTAACTGTAGAATTTGATCCCTTGCCTTTGATCTTTTTAATCATATTCCATACCTTGGACATAGGGGTACGAGAGTTAATTTTGGAGACATAGGTCCGCCAGGATTGACGTTTATTTTGCTTAAATAGACGTCTTGCCTTGGCATTTGAAATTTTTACAATATTTAAATTATGGACAGTGGGATGTTTACGGAAGTACTTCTCCGCCTTCTTACGACATTTCCTAGCTTGTTTGCAAGTGTCATCAAACCACGGTTTACGAACACGTGGGTTGATAGAGGACTTAGGTATTGATTCATCAGCAATTTCATTCAGTAGATCTGAGAACAACTGAATCGGGTCAGTAACATTTTGAAAAGACGTAGGTAGTAATTTATCTTTGCATAAAGATTGAAATAAAAGCCAATCAGCCTTCACAAAATTCCATCGAGGTGAAGGTGGATCATCAGCGGGATTAATTGGTTTAAGCACCGTGGGGAAATGGTCACTCCCACATAGGTCATCATGGACAGACCATGAGAATTCATTCAACAAAACTGAATCCGTCAAAGACAGATCTAAAGATGAATAGGTACCAGTAGCAGGGTGCAAGTAAGTGTCGGAGTCATCATTAAAAATGCAAAGATCGTTATCGGAAACAAAATCCTCGATTACTTTTCCCTTTTGATTAATGGTTGAACTTCCCCATAGAGGATTATGCCCATTTAGATCACCCATGATGACACAGGGCTTTGGGAGTTGGTCGTATAGTTTTTGTAGATCATTTCGCTGAAGATTTGAAGAAGGAGGAATGTATAAGGAGCAAAGTGTGAAGGCAATATGCAGTGTTAGTCTAACTGCAACTGCTTGCAGAGTCGAGTCAAGCGGAACAGGACTGTGAACAACGCCCCGCCGCACTAAAATAGAAGCACCTCCAGTAGCTTTATCTCCTGGAGGAGAGAAGGAATGATATGAACTATATTGCTTTAAATCAAACTTATCTGTATTTTTAAGGTACGTCTCTTGTAAACAAATTGCTGATGGATTTAAATCACTTGTTAATAACTGTAGTTCATGAAAATTATGCCTAAGTCCTCTGCAATTCCATTGCATTATATTAGACAATTGAGTCATGGTGGCTCAATTGGAGATCGCTCGCGTGAATGTGAGGAGGAACTACTCCCCCGCCTGTCCTGTGAGGACAGAGTAACCTCCATGTCCAGAGGCCCAAAGGAGTTCTGTAAAGGAACCTCTGAAGGTGAAGGGACGATTGGCAGTTGTTTTTTCTTCAATTTCTTTTTTTCTTTAGTCGACAAATGAACAACGACTGGTTGTTTGACTGACGTGTGTGAAGGTTTCTCAGACTGAATCTCAGTCTGAGATCCTGAACTGGATACACTGATGGTAGGAATAGGCTGAGTGATTGGAATAGTATCAACTGGTTGATCTGACGTGACCCATGTCAAGTCAGTCTGACACGAAATAGTAGATGTTGTAACAGAGCGGGAGACTGCAGCGGAATAGGACATAGTTGAGGGGGTAGTGGTCTGAATTTTGAATAGTTTTTTGGCATCCAGATAGGATATGTTTTTTTCACATTTGATTTTCATTATTTTGGATTCCATTTGCCACACAGGGCAAGATTTTGATGAAGCAACATGTGGGCCTGAACAATTTGCACACTTCAGATCATGATTACAGTCAATGCTCTCATGGCTGTCACCACAACGATGACATACCACAGAGTTATGACAGGATTTTGAACCATGACCGAAATGTTGGCACTTGTAGCATCGGAGCGGATTGGGGACATACACATCCACTCCGATGTTCATATAACCTGCTTTTATTGACTGTGGAAGGGAAGTTTGGGCAAACGTCATGAGATAGGTATTGGTGTTCGTGATGACACCGTCTTTCTTAATCGTGAAACGTTTTACAGCGGTTACAGCTTGGTCTTCCAATTCAGTAGCAATTTCATCCTCAGACATGTCGGACAGACAACGAGCCCTGTCACGAACAATGCCTCGACAAGAGTTTAAAGTTCTGTGCACAGACACAGCAACCTCAATATTGGCAAATGTAGATATAGACAACAGATTGAGAGATTGCTGTCTCCGTGCACACTCCACCAGAAGCGAACCACTACGGAGACGGGTGACGTTCTTGACCTCACCACAAATACCGGACACAGCCTTAGAAATGGCAAAAGGATTTAATTTGATAGGCAGGTTATCAGCAGCCTCAATAACCAGGAACCTAGCCCAGGTATCAATATTTTGAGAAGTACTTCCAGACGAAATATCAATGTCTTCTAATCGTCTCTTTTTTTCATTGCGAGATGAACCAGATTGTTGTTGAGCCATGATGAAAGAATATGATTCAGCACCCCTGTTCCCCACCCGCCATCGAGTGTCAACAAGGACAGTGTTATATTGCACCGGATATCCAGGATGCAAACACCAGGGATACAGGGATGCTATACTCCAGCAAATATGACTTGAATAGCTATATTTATCTACCAGATGTAGTGCCAGGAAGGTTCAGTCCATGACAAGAAACTGGAGACATACAGAATACAGAGGTCAACATCACCAGATTGGCCCATGAGCCACCGCCTTCTGGCGTAAGACTCTAGGCAATTTATTCCATCAAAAATTGGTAATTCATACAAAGTATGCTTGGCCAAGTCCAAAATATACATTATAATACAACACAGGAGTGCACATACAATATTACGCACAGTGCCTGGCATGACCAGCCGATTGATAAGACCGGGCCCATCTTACCACCCGTCTAGGCGAAGTAAGGGTCGAAGTAGTGTGTTGGGCAAAGGAACACAGTTCCAGGAACCAGTGCCCTCAACTACCAGACTCCCGTCCTCCGCCGACACAGGGACGCAACCCACGGCAAACGGGCTGCCCACTTTGGTCGCCTCTTACGACCAGCAATGGGGTGCTGTGGAAATATTCTACCCCGGTTCCACACGGGGGAAGAGCTATTAGCGCTACCCAGCACTCACCACGAGGAGGTTGCTCTTCACGAGTGCCGATATCTACAGAAACTACACATCTTACAGCAAGGCATTAATTTATGTCAATTTGTAATTGGTAAATTGTGTAACATCGCGACTTAGCTGGACCCAGATGTTATGATTATATCTGCAATTGACGCCGCGTATAATAGTATGTATAACACGGACCGCTTCCCTGACACGATCAGTGACAATCACTAACGACAGCTTGCAATGAAGCTTATTACATTACCTGAAGCCTCGGGCATAAGCCGTGTGCCAAGTATACAACATTTGAAAAAAAGAGTTTGTTAATGTTCATCAATAAAGAAATACCGATCTAGTTCTTTTTAAACATATTTGATGAACTTTTCGTGTGACTTCACTGCGCCTCATGTGCGTGAATGATAACACATTGGTGCGTTACAAAACGGGGCCATAAGCTTTTAAAATAATACCTATAACAAGAAATAATACATGTTAATCCAAACATATATTTTATTTATATGCCGACATGTTGTAATCTCATGTTAAATACTTCCACATGCTGTACTTCGACAGACTCTTAAAGAATATACCAATGTGATATCGATCTGTCTCTGGTCCCCTCTCATCATTGATATATTATGTCATACTGTTTATTGAAGAACGCAAATGGTAAATTAACGGTACATGTACACTTTAACTCTTGCTTATAACATCTGGAAATTGATATAATGATGCAGATTGAATTAGTGGTGCCAAAACACATTGCAGTTTTGCATCATATCACTATCTTACTAAATTATGAATGTATAATGAATCTCAAAAGATTAATGTTTAACTGATATTTTATATGATATCACTTTTTATCAAAAAGTAAATAATTTTAATTGTCATCAAAACTGTTAAGTGTACATGCAGTTCTAACATAGCAACAAGTAGGCGGCGCTAGTGACATTGATGAGAGAGATTGAAATGATAATGTCAAAATACAGTGCATCTGCTACAATCAAAGTAATGTTTCAAAGGGAGCGTTTGACATCGTGACGACATTATCTGATTACAAATCTTAATGATGCTAATCTTACTGTTCAGCGCTGGCTTTAAAAGGGCAGTAGCTAGTGCCTGTTCACCAACCATTGTAACTTTCACTTATTAAGGTAAATATACTCGCATATGGGTGTGTTGCACGTTGGTCTTTGTTGCCACACAAATATGTTGTCAGAATATCTAATAATAATCTGAATTGTTATTTCATGGATTACGTACTGTACAAAAGTCTCAGTTCCTGTTCATTGATCGATGTTTTGGTTGGCAAAAAAATAGATTTATGCAATAACTAAATTTATTAAAATAAATCATGTCGATAGTTACAAAATGTCTTTACTATAATTAATATTGACATCGTTATTAAAACAATCTTAAAAGCAACAACTGATCTTCAATCACTTTTACTTTTGAATATGCATACCAGTAATATGTTTCTAATTCACTCTCGTACTAATATTTGCAATTCTTTCCAATTCACCTGACATAAAATGTATTACTAACTTACTATGAGGTAAACTATATCGTTAGGGAACATCTATAAGATAGAAAGGGGCGGTCGGGTAGCCTAGTGGTTAAAGCGTTCGCTCGTCTCGCCGAAGACCCAGGTTCGATTCATGGGTACAATGTGTGAAGCCCATTTCTGGTGTCTCCCACCGTGATATTGCTGGAATATTGCTAAAAGCGGCGTAAAACCATGCTAACTCACTCACTGACTATAAGATAGAAAATCACATTTTAGATTTTTTTTCAAGGTGTACAGACAGCCCTGTTAGTTTCGAGAAATAATAGGTCCTCATGTCTCCTCAGGATGTCGTAATAGTCAACTAAACAGGATCAAGTTTGGCGACCGTGCTGATTGATTGGCATCAGGTGCCGATGTTTCGTTGCTCCAAATTCGAATTTTTACCAACCTCCTGAAATTGTGTTGATCCCGACGTAAAATTCACTGCTATTTTGCCTGTTTTGTTTCGTCGGATGATCGATACTGGTTGTTCTCGGGCATTGACGTTTACTATTCGCATGTTAACATTTTTTTTATATTTCCAGGACAAGATGCCAGGCGTTCTGTGTGTTTTGCTCTTTGTATGTGGTGTGGCAGCCGCCGAAAACTCAACCTCAACTAAGTCAGGAGCTCTTGGAGATGACTTGAAGGTCGTTGACGAGATCTTTGACAGTACATATGTGAGTTGTATCCTCTGGTCGTTAGTCCATGAATCTTGAAGGTCGTTGACGAGATCTTTGACACTACATATGTGAGTTGTATCCTCTGGTCGTTAGTCCATGAGACTTGAAGGTCGTTGACGAGATCTTTGACACTACATATGTGAGTTGTATCCTCTAGTCGTTAGTCCATGAGATTTGAAGGTCGTTGACGAGATCTTTGACACTACATATGTGAGTTGAATCCTCTGGTCGTTAGTCCATGAGACTTGAAGGTCGTTGACGAGATCGCTGACACTACATATTTGAGTTGTATCCTCACATATGTGAGAAATTATATCAAAGGTTATTAATGATGTGACATGTCAGGGATTCTATAAGGAGAATACATGTGTGATTCTGAAGGTATATTACTTCACACATAACAGAAACCCTCAACTGTCATAATATTCATAATGACATGTATCCATTTACATCCAGCTTTGTTTGGAAATGCTCATTTTTTATGAACCAAACTGTGTTATATATGTACATTGTATTGGTAAATTTGTTCTGTTGCCGACATGCCCTTAGCTGCGTCCTTTATAACACGACTGTGTTGCATATTTCAGTGCACCCCTGTCAACATGGCATGCTATGCAACGTATGAATGTTGCCCTGGATACCAATGTACGAGGTCGCCATCTGGGTTTGGAAACACTTGTCAAGGAAATGGACAAATGGTAGGCAATAATGTTTCTTCCACTACTGCTTCGCATTGTATTAAGGTTGAGAAGTGAATATGAATATTATTTTGAGAACTGTCATCTCTATTATCACATTTGTGTTTCAATGCCGATGGGCAGCGATTCATATAGAAAGGTTTGAAGATCCAAGTAGCATGTGGTATATACAGGTCACAATGGAACTCCCTTTCTGTTTTGTTAAGCACATGAGAATTTTGTTCTCTATGTCAACATATTTGAACATTTGAATGATCAGAACATGTTGATTATTACCTTTTCGATGAATACATTAATAAATATATTTTAGAATCCACATTTCGATACAGACACTAATACATTTTTCCAGCAAATAATTAAACAATCGATAGTGTAAGTTGGTGTAGTTAAAGGTTAAAGTTAGTTAAAGAGTAACAGACACGTCCCAAAGATCATTTGGATAATAATGGTGCCGTTGGAGAGCTGTATTTACATATGATTATAGATTTACAGATATGTCAAAAAACAATTGTCTAAAAGCTGTTTCTTGTGTGATAACATGTAGCACGTTCATGTGCGTTCATTTTTTTATGTTCATATATAACGTTGTGCATTGACACAGATCGGGAACATCAATTCTAGTTAAATTGTTAAAAAAATCAAGAACCGATGAAGTTTCAAATACGAATTATTTTGCTTTGCTAGTCAACAGTCCATGATTCTTTCATTCAGTGTACGCCTGAGTCTCAACCCTGTTCTCCGGGCTCAAATCAGCAGTGCTGTAACACTGGTCTGTGCACACTTGAGGGAAGCGGATATGTATGCAGAACAGCTGGTGGGGTATGTGCATTGCTCCAATTCTTCAAAGGTGTCGGTATGCAATGATATAACTACACGTCCATTCCTTAGTCCAAATACGAATAAATAGTATAGTACTTCTGTATATCCTAAAACTAAAATAACAGCTGAGCATCAATATTAAGAATTTCTCAATCTGGTGCGTATCAAGTGCCTATAATGACACATATGTAAGGTTTTTTAAGCTTCAATGACATTTAATATGATTGATCATAAATTGGCCTGCCCCTCCCTTCAAAAAGTCAAAGTCAACAACAAACAATCCCAAAAAAAACCTTTAACACTCAAGTGAAAAAAACTGGCCATTAACACTGCCTAGATTTCGAAATTAGAGTAAAAGAGTCAAGCAGAAGACGGCTGCAATTCGTTCGACGCCCATATTCCCACAGAGACATTTGCAAATTGAATCCGGGGACACGAGTGGCCCAGTCATCCATGGCGTCGAAATTGACTGCAGATTTGCGTCCCTTGGCACGCCAGAAACCTTTGATTGTGGGTTCGAATTGCTGTTCGCCCCGATTGTGTTTCTAGAGTTGCAAGCACCATTCAGTGCTCGTGGGTTTCACCAAAGGGGTAAACGTCTAGGACTTGCTTCCCTCCGGGATTTCCTCCCAGATTAAGCGGGATATCACTAAGCTGTTGAACCCAAATCACATTCTTATTCAATGTCTCAAACCCAATCTTATACATTTCAGTGCTTAACTAGTGGTAGTCTATGCACACCCGGATCAATAAGGTGTTGTGGGAACACTGAGTGTACATACAAACCTGGTTCTAACTTTGCTACCTGTCAGGAATCCAATCAGGTAAGCAAAGGGAAATAAAAAAGCACCTGCAATTCGAGTGCACAGTCCAATATATTACAAACAAAACACAAAGCGGAGGATTCTCCCTGATGATATGAATGAAACATATCGGTCGAAGTATTCGGCATTGAATGTTTTGTTTCAACTTACAAATATATACACACTTGTAATTTAAAGCGCAGGTGAATGCAGGTAAGTAATGTATTTAAATGCGTTGTTAAAAAAACAGCTCATGTACAAACTTGAAGAATACTTTTGTCAAAACAGTAAATAAATAGCTCCGTAAATTTAAATGTGTTCCAGGTTTATATATATAAAACAATAGAAAATATACTCAACAAAACAAGTCAAGGGTCATGTGTATGTTAAGGAATATGTTTTGCAGTGAAGACTGAGCACAATTAAATGAAAACATATTTATGATCCTAAATTTTTTTACTAAGTATAGTTTCACAAATTTAGTTCAATAATTACAGCTGTTTAGTATCTGATCTCACGTGTCTACATTCGCAAACATTCAGGTTTCAGTTTTAGATTCACTACATAGGTATAATGCGCCGCGCAGTTCTTGTTTCCCACTGGAATATTGCTGAAGGCTGCATTAACTCATCTCACTCACTCACACACGAATTACAAAAAAACATGTCTATTTTGTATGTTTTTATTCAGATACATAATCATCATGTACGAATACACCACACTGTATCATATTCAGGTGATCTTTAAACATTGCAACATTTCAGTGTGTCCCGGAGTACCAAACCTGTTCCCCTAATGACCCCATGATGCCATGCTGCAACAACGGACAGTGTCAGTACAACAATGGACAATACACCTGCAGCATTGGAGGACAGGTGAGACACATAGTCTTGATTATCTGACGACAGTGAAACCAAGCAATCCAAATGACTAGAGATCGCAGCCATTTTACGAAATGACTAAACATTCTTGTCTTACCAAATAATACGTAAGTCCAAACATGTAATAATTCGAACGGTTTTACTCAGAACGGTACCTTCCGGATTAACAGGGTTTCACCAACATGCATTCTAATTACTAATATGCTCATGAAAACGGCACACACTGCTGTGTTCGTCCGTCTTAAAACAGCCGTTAGTCTGCAATGCTTTTCTTAAAATTTGACTAAAATGGGGACCGAATCGTTATGATGTGTGAATTGGCTGAGCATTAACACCACCGTATCCAGACAGAATGTATTGTTGATCGTGCTATCGACCCCTGGTTTGTATAGTGACCACCATTATAAAGTTGGAATACTGTTAACTATAAACAATTTCACTCACATGTTTTCATTATTTTAAATGTGGGAAAGTTGTAACCAGCTCAGCTTTCTGTTGGGTTTATTAGTGTATTCCTGAAAATCAAAGATGTAGTCCCAGCGACCCGCTCCAATCGTGTTGTAACAACGGGCAGTGTCAGTACAGTAACGGACAGTTCATGTGCAGTGCTGGGAACGGACAGGTAAGTTGCCATTAACGATTACTATATCCAGTGTATTATATTTCCATTCTTGTTGACAATATGCCATGGACCAATTCACTCCCGATGCTACGTTTTGTGTCCAGTTCGAAATAACCGATTCTAAAATAAGACGTCCGAATGATATGTCACCCATGAGAGTGAGAAGTTCTGATAATAAAGATAGAGATTGTGACTGATTTCTAAAATGAAAGTAAGGTGGCGAATGGGTTTTCTTGTTCTCTCAAAGCAAATATGTATTTAAACAAGGAATTCCTATTCTTTCAAATGTCTAAACACCACGTGATAAAAAAGAATAGTAAAGAAGGAGGCATGTTAGCCTAGTGGCTAAAAGATTCGCTTACATGTAGTGTACATATTACGACGAAAGCCCGGGTTCGATTCACCACATGATTATAACGTGCAGTTCAGTTCTGGTTTCCCACTGGAATATTGCTGAAAGCGGCTTGAAACCCAACTCACTCACTCACAGGCTAATTTTTAAAATATGAATAGTTTGTGTGTGTTAATTCTGGTGCCTCATACATCATGTACGAATACACCACATTGTATCAATATTTAGGTAATCTTTAAACATTGCAACATTTTAGTGCGTACCGGAGAACCAAATATGTACCCCCAATGACCCCATGATGCAATGCTGTAACAACGGACAGTGTCAGTACAACTTCGGTCAGTACACCTGCAGCTCAGGGAACGGACAGGTAATCTTATTACGAAAGTCAATTATGATTCCTTGCATCATGTTACACCATGAAGAGGGTTGCAACTATACATCTTCCCATAGATTTTAGTCATGCTGTCTGGGGGATCACAGCTCACTGTTGACTGCCTTAAAATATCCGTTGCCTTGTTTATTTTACACTTGCCAAGCTAATAACACTGTCAGTGAAGGCTTTGATTTGTCACTCACAATGACCGGGTTTGAATCCCCAAATGGGTACAATGTGAAGCACAGGTCTGTTTTCTCCCGCCGTGACTCACACATTAATTTACAAAATAAGAATGTTTTTTTTATATTTTGGTTTGGGTACCTAATGCATCATCTACACCATACCGTATCAATATAAGGTAATCAATAAACATTGCAACATTTCAGTGCGTCCCGGAGTACCAGATATGTACCCCCAATGACCCCATGATGCCATGCTGTAACAACGGACAGTGTCAGTACAACAACGGACAGTACACCTGTAGCTCAGGGAACGGACAGGTAACTTTATTGCGATTCCATGGAACAAGTTACTATGTGAGAGATGATTGGCTGCTGGATATCTTCCCATAGACTTTAGTCGTGTTGTTTGGGGGATCAACAGCTCACTATTGGCTGCCTAAAGGCTTCCGTTGCCTCGTTTCTCTTACACTTTCCAAGCGACTTGCTCATTATACCTGGTGCTGAAAGCTTTGATTTGTTACTCAAAATGACCTGGTTTGATTTACCACATGGGTACGAAGTAAGAAGCCTGGTTCTCCCGAGCCGGAATATTGCTGGAATATTGCTAAAAACGGCCTAACATTAAACTCACTTATTCCTTTGCCAATGAAACACCTATCACCGTAGTGATTCTGCATTGTAATTGGACCCAAGCAAACCGTGCTTCTTGTCAGGGCGATTTAATGGATCGGGTGGTCAGACTCGGTTACTTGCTTGGTAGCGTGTCTTCGAACTCCGATGGTGTGGGACATAATTCATAATATCAACCACTGGTTTTATTCCTCCCGACATGATAATTCAAGAGCCACCGTTATGTAGCTGAAATATTGAGGCTTTTCACGACAGGCAAACAAGTAACTATATACCATTCTCTCAATGCAAGTAATAATTAAAACAAAGACTCCATATTCCCTCAGGAGGGTGAGCACAGCGTTAAAAATAAATATTTAAGAAGTGGGCATGGTGGCTGTCATGCCCGCTCCTTTAATATTCATTTTTCACGCACAGAGTGGTTAAGTGGTTCGCTTCGACAAGACGAAAGCCCGGGTTTGATTCCCCACATGGGAATAATGTGAAACTCAGTTCTGGTTTCTCCTGCCCTGACTCACACATTAATTTACAAAATAAGTATGTTTTTTTCTATATATTGACATCATCTTCACCAAACCGTATCAATATAAGGTAGTCATTAAACATTGCAACATTTCAGTGCGTCCCGGAGTTCCAAATATGTAACCCCAATGATCCCATGATGCCATGCTGTAACAACGGACAGTGTCAGTACGACAACGGACAGTTCACCTGCAGCTCAGGGAACGGACAGGTAACTTTATTGCGATTCCATGCAACATGTTTCTATGTGAGAGATGATTTGCTGCAGAATATCTTCCCATAGATTTTAGTCGTGTTGTTTTGGGGTGAAAACTTTGATTTGTCACTCAAAATGTCCGTGGTTTGATTCACCACATGGGTTCGATGTATGAAGAAAGTTTCTGGTTTTCCCGTGCCGAGATATTCCTGGAATAGTGTTATAGAGGCTAAAAACCAAACTCACTCACTCACTTACACACACCAGTTAAAAAAAATCTTTATTTTTTATATTTTGATTCGGTACCTAATACATAATGTACGCTTACACAACACTGTATCGAATTCAGGTAATCAATAAACATGGCAACATTTCAGTGCGTCCCGGAGTACCAGATCTGTACCCCCAATGACCCCATGATGTCATGCTGTAACAACGGACAGTGTCAATACAACAACGGACAGTTCACCTGCAGCTCAGGGAACGGACAGGTGACTTTATTGCGATTCCATGCAACATGTTATTATGTGAGAGATGATTGGCTGCTGGATATCTTCCCATATATTTTAGTCGTGTTGTTTTGGGGTGAAAACTTTGATTTGTCTCTCAAAATGACCGGGTTTGATTCATCACATTGGAACGATATCTGAAGCCAGTTTCTGGTTTTCCCGCCCCGGGATATTGCTGGAATGTAGCTTAAAACGACCTGACATTATACTCACTCATTCACTTGCAAATGAGAGCACATGTCATCGTGATGATTCTGCATTGTAATTGGACCCGAACAATCTGTGCTTCTTGTCAGGGCGACTAAATGGATCGGGTGGTCAGACCCGGTGACTTGCTTGGTAGCGTGTCTTTGTTTCCCGATAGTGTTTGACATTACTCATAATATCAACCACTGGTTCTTTTCGTCCAGACACGATTATTTCAAGGCCATCATTATGCAGCTGGAATATTGAGACCTTTTTCGAGACAGTCAAATAAATAAATATATATCATTCCCGAAATGAAAATAAGAAAATAAAACAAAGACGCCATATTCCCTCAGGAGGGTAAGCACCACGTGACAACGTATATTAAAGGAGTGGGCATGGTATCCGTGAGGTTAAAATGTTTCTCTTTGTACGACGAAAGCCTGGGTTTGAGTTCCCACATGGAAATAAAATGAAGCGCAGTTCAGGTTTCTCCCACCGTGATACTGCTGGCATATTGCTGAAATATTGCTGAAGACATTAAACCTAATACAGTCTATCATACATAAATTGACAAAATAACTGGGGTTTTTATATTTTGATTCGGGCACATAATGCATCATCTGCACCACACACACTGTATCAATATTCAGGCTTATTATTAAACAATGCAACATTTCAGTGCGTCCCGGAGTACCAGATATGTACCCCCAATGACCCCATGATGCCATGCTGTAACAACGGACAGTGTCAATACAACAACGGACAGTTCACCTGCAGCTCAGGGAACGGACAGGTGACTTTATTGCGATTCCATGGAACATGTTATTATGTGAGAGATGATTGGCTGCTGGATATCTTCCCATAGATTTTAGTCGAGTTGTTTTGGGGTGAAAACTTTGATTTGTCTCTCAAAATGACCGGGTTTGATTCATCACATGGGTACGATATCTGAAGCCATTTTCTGGTTTTCCCGCCCCGGGAAATTGCTGGAATGTAGCTTAAAACGGCCTGACATTATACTCATTCATTCACTTGCCAATGAGAGTACATGTCATCGTGATGATTCCGCATTGTAATTGGACCCGAGCAAGCTTTGCTTCTTGTCAGGGCGACTAAATGATCGGGTGGTCAGACCCGGTGACTTGCTTGGTAGCGTGTCTTCGTACCCCGATAGTGTTTGACATTACTCATAATATCAACCACTGGTTTTATTCGTCCAGACACGATTATTTCAAGGCTATCATTATGCAGCTGGAATATTGAGGCTTTTCACAAATTGTTGAAGGCGTTAAGCCCAACTCACTCTATCACACATTAATTTACAAAATATATATCTTTTAGTATTTTGATTTGGGCACCTAATCCATCATCTACTACATACTGTATCAATATGAGGTAATCAATAAACATTGCAACATTTCAGTGCGTCCCGGAGTACCAGATCTGTACCCCCAATGACCCCATGATGCCATGCTGTAACAACGGACAGTGTCAGTACAACAACGGACAGTTCACCTGCAGCTCAGGGAACGGACAGGTAACTTAATTACGAAAATCGATTATGATTCCGCAAAACATGTTACACCGTGAGAGGGGGTTGGCTACTAAATATCTTCCCATAGATTTTAGTCGTGTTGTTTAGGGGATCAACAGCTCACTGTTGACTGCATAAAATCTTCCTTTGCCGTGTTTCTTTTACACTTGCCAAGTGACTTGCTAATAACAGCTGGTGGTGAAAACTTTGATTTGTCACTCAAAATGTCCGTGGTTTGATTTACCACATGGGTTCGATGTATGAAGAAAGTTTCTGGTTTTCCCGTGCCGAGATATTCCTGGAATAGTGTTATAGGGGAGCTAAAACCAAACTCACTCACTTACACACACCAGTTAAAAAAAATCTTTATTTTTTATATTTTGTTTCGGTACCTAATACATAATGTACGTTTACACAACACTGTATTCAGGTAATCAATAAACATGGCAACATTTCAGTGCGTCCCGGAGTACCAGATCTGTACCCCCAATGACCCCATGATGTCATGCTGTAACAACGGACAGTGTCAGTACAACAACGGAGAGTTCACCTGCAGCTCAGGGAACGGACAGGTGACTTTATTGCGATTCCATGCAACATGTTATTATGTGAGAGATGATTGGCTGCTGGATATCTTCCCATAGATTTTAGTCGTGTTGTTTTGGGGTGAAAACTTTGATTTGTCTCTCAAAATGACCGGGTTTGATTCATCACATGGGAACGATATCTGAAGCCAGTTTCTGGTTTTCCTGCCCCGGGATATTGCTGGAATGTAGCTTAAAACGGCCTGACATTATACTCATTCATTCACTTGCCAATGAGAGCACATGTCATCGTGATGATTTTGCATTGTAATTGGACCCGAGCAAGCTGTGCTTCTTGTCAGGGCGACTAAATGGATCGGGTGGTCAGACCCGGTGACTTGCTTGGTAGCGTGTCTTTGTTTCCCGATAGTGTGTGGCATTACTCATAATATCAACCACTGGTTCTTTTCGTCAAGACACGATTATTTCAAGGCCATCATTAGGCAGCTGGAATATTGAGACTTTTTCGAGACAGTCAAATAAATAAATATATATCATTCCCGAAATGAAAATAAGAAAATAAAACAAAGACGCCATATTCCCTCAGGAGGGTAAGCACCACGTGCCAAACGTATATTAAAGGAGTGGGCATGGTATCCGTGAGGTTAAAATGTTTCTCTTTGTACGACGAAAGCCTGGGTTTGAGTTCCCACATGGAAATAAAATGAAGCGCAGTTCAGGTTTCTCCCACCGTGATACTGCTGGCATATTGCTGAAATATTGCTGAAGACATTAAACCTAATACAGTCTATCATACATAAATTGACAAAATAACTGGGGTTTTTATATTTTGATTCGGGCACATAATGCATCATCTGCACCACACACACTGTATCAATATTCAGGCTTATTATTAAACAATGCAACATTTCAGTGCGTCCCGGAGTACCAGATATGTACCCCCAATGACCCCATGATGCCATGCTGTAACAACGGACAGTGTCAATACAACAACGGACAGTTCACCTGCAGCTCAGGGAACGGACAGGTGACTTTATTGCGATTCCATGGAACATGTTATTATGTGAGAGATGATTGGCTGCTGGATATCTTCCCATAGATTTTAGTCGAGTTGTTTTGGGGTGAAAACTTAGATTTGTCTCTCAAAATGACCGGGTTTGATTCATCACATGGGTACGATATCTGAAGCCAGTTTCTGGTTTTCCCGCCCCGGGATATTGCTGGAATGTAGCTTAAAACGGCCTGACATTATACTCATTCATTCACTTGCCAATGAGAGTACATGTCATCGTGATGATTCCGCATTGTAATTGGACCCGAGCAAGCTTTGCTTCTTGTCAGGGCGACTAAATGATCGGGTGGTCAGACCCGGTGACTTGCTTGGTAGCGTGTCTTCGTACCCCGATAGTGTGTGACATTACTCATAATATCAACCACTGGTTTTATTCGTCCAGACACGATTATTTCAAGGCTATCATTATGCAGCTGGAATATTGAGGCTTTTCACAAATTGTTGAAGGCGTTAAGCCCAACTCACTCTATCACACATTAATTTACAAAATATATATCTTTTAGTATTTTGATTTGGGCACCTAATCCATCATCTACTACATACTGTATCAATATGAGGTAATCAATAAACATTGCAACATTTCAGTGCGTCCCGGAGTACCAGATCTGTACCCCCAATGACTCCATGATGCCATGCTGTAACAACGGACAGTGTCAGTACAACAACGGACAGTTCACCTGCAGCTCAGGGAACGGACAGGTAACTTAATTACGAAAATCGATTATGATTCCGCAAAACATGTTACACCGTGAGAGGGGGTTGGCTACTAAATATCTTCCCATAGATTTTAGTCGTGTTGTTTAGGGGATCAACAGCTCACTGTTGACTGCATAAAATCTTCCTTTGCCGTGTTTCTTTTACACTTGCCAAGTGACTTGCTAATAACAGCTGGTGGTGAAAACTTTGATTTGTCACTCAAAATGTCCGTGGTTTGATTTACCACATGGGTTCGATGTATGAAGCAAGTTTCTGGTTTTCCCGTGCCGAGATATTCCTGGAATAGTGTTATAGGGGAGCTAAAACCAAACTCACTCACTTACACACACCAGTTAAAAAAAATCTTTATTTTTTATATTTTGTTTCGGTACCTAATACATAATGTACGTTTACACAACACTGTATTCAGGTAATCAATAAACATGGCAACATTTCAGTGCGTCCCGGAGTACCAGATCTGTACCCCCAATGACCCCATGATGTCATGCTGTAACAACGGACAGTGTCAGTACAACAACGGAGAGTTCACCTGCAGCTCAGGGAACGGACAGGTGACTTTATTGCGATTCCATGCAACATGTTATTATGTGAGAGATGATTGGCTGCTGGATATCTTCCCATAGATTTTAGTCGTGTTGTTTTGGGGTGAAAACTTTGATTTGTCTCTCAAAATGACCGGGTTTGATTCATCACATTGGAACGATATATCTGAAGCCAGTTTCTGGTTTTCCCGCCCCGGGATATTGCTGGAATGTAGCTTAAAACGACCTGACATTATACTCATTCATTCACTTGCAAATGAGAGCACATGTCATCGTGATGATTTTACATTGTAATTGGACCCGAGCAAGCTGTGCTTCTTGTCAGGGCGACTAAATGATCGGGTGGTCAGACCCGGTGACTTGCTTGGTAGCGTGTCTTTGTTTCCCGATAGTGTTTGACATTACTCATAATATCAACCACTGGTTCTTTTCGTCCAGACACGATTATTTCAAGGCCATCATTAGGCAGATGGAATATTGAGGCTTTTCGGGACAGTCAAATAAATAAATATATATCATTCCCGAAATGAAAATAAGAAAATAAAACAAAGACGCCATATTCCCTCAGGAGGGTAAGCACCACGTGACAAACGTATATTAAAGGAGTGGGCATGGTATCCGTGAGATTAAAATGTTTCTCTTTGTACGACGAAAGCCTGGGTTTGAGTTCCCACATGGAAATAAAATGAAGCGCAGTTCAGGTTTCTCCCACCGTGATACTGCTGGCATATTGCTGAAATATTGCTGAAGACATTAAACCTAATTCAGTCTATCATACATAAATTGACAAAATAACTGGGTTTTTTATATTTTGATTCGGGCACCTAATGCATCATCTGCACCACACACACTGTATCAATATTCAGGCTTATTATTAAACATTGCAACATTTCAGTGCGTACCGGAGTTCCAGATATGTACCCCCAATGACCCCATGATGCCATGCTGTAACAACGGACAGTGTCAATACAACAACGGACAGTTCACCTGCAGCTCAGGGAACGGACAGGTGACTTTATTGCGATTCCATGCAACATGTAATTATGTGAGAGATGATTGGCTGCTGGATATCTTCCCATAGATTTTAGTCGTGTTGTTTTGGGGTGAAAACTTTGATTTGTCTCTCAAAATGACCGGGTTTGATTCATCACATGGGTACGATATCTGAAGCCAGTTTCTGGTTTTCCCGCCCCGGGAAATTGCTGGAATGTAGCTTAAAACGGCCTGACATTATACTCATTCATTCACTTGCCAATGAGAGTACATGTCATCGTGATGATTCCGCATTGTAATTGGACCCGAGCAAGCTTTGCTTCTTGTCAGGGCGACTAAATGATCGGGTGGTCAGACCCGGTGACTTGCTTGGTAGCGTGTCTTCGTACACCGATAGTGTGTGACATTACTCATAATATCAACCACTGGTTTTATTCGTCCAGACACGATTATTTCAAGGCTATCATTATGCAGCTGAAATATTGAGGCTTTTCACAAATTGTTGAAGGCGTTAAGCCCAACTCACTCTATCACACATTAATTTACAAAATATATATCTTTTAGTATTTTGATTTGGGCACCTAATCCATCATCTACTACATACTGTATCAATATGAGGTAATCAATAAACATTGCAACATTTCAGTGCGTCCCGGAGTACCAGATCTGTACCCCCAATGACCCCATGATGCCATGCTGTAACAACGGACAGTGTCAGTACAACAACGGACAGTTCACCTGCAGCTCAGGGAACGGACAGGTAACTTAATTACGAAAATCGATTATAATTCCGCATATGTTACACCGTGAGAGGGGGTTGGCTACTAAATATCTTCCCATAAATTTTAGTCGTGTTGTTTAGGGGATCAACAGCTCACTGTTGACTGCATAAAATCTTCCTTTGCCGTGTTTCTTTTACACTTGCCAAGTGACTTGCTAATAACAGCTGGTGGTGAAAACTTTGATTTGTCACTCAAAATGTCCGTGGTTTGATTTACCACATGGGTTCGATGTATGAAGCAAGTTTCTGGTTTTCCCGTGCCGAGATATTCCTGGAATAGTGTTATAGGGGAGCTTAAACCAAACTCACTCACTCACTTACACACACCAGTTAAAAAAAATCTTTATTTTTTATATTTTGTTTCGGTACCTTATACATAATGTACGTTTACACAACACTGTATTCAGGTAATCAATAAACATGGCAACATTTCAGTGCGTCCCGGAGTACCAGATCTGTACCCCCAATGACCCCATGATGTCATGCTGTAACAACGGACAGTGTCAGTACAACAACGGAGAGTTCACCTGCAGCTCAGGGAACGGACAGGTGACTTTATTGCGATTCCATGCAACATGTTATTATGTGAGAGATGATTGGCTGCTGGATATCTTCCCATAGATTTTAGTCGTGTTGTTTTGGGGTGAAAACTTTGATTTGTCTCTCAAAATGACCGGGTTTGATTCATTACATGGGAACGATATCTGAAGCCAGTTTCTGGTTTTCCCGCCCCGGGATATTGCTGGAATGTAGCTTAAAACGGCCTGACATTATACTCATTCATTCACTTGCCAATGAGAGCACATGTCATCGTGATGATTTTACATTGTAATTGGACCCGAGCAAGCTGTGCTTCTTGTCAGGGCGACTAAATGGATCGGGTGGTCAGACCCGGTGACTTGCTTGGTAGCGTGTCTTTGTTTCCCGATAGTGTTTGACATTACTCATAATATCAACCAATGGTTCTTTTCGTCAAGACACGATTATTTCAAGGCCATCATTAGGCAGATGGAATATTGAGGCTTTTCGGGACAGTCAAATAAATAAATATATATCATTCCCGAAATGAAAATAAGAAAATAAAACAAAGACGCCATATTCCCTCAGGAGGGTAAGCACCACGTGACAAACGTATATTAAAGGAGTGGGCATGGTATCCGTGAGATTAAAATGTTTCTCTTTGTACGACGAAAGCCTGGGTTTGAGTCCCCACATGGAAATAAAATGAAGCGCAGTTCAGGTTTCTCCCATCGTGATACTGCTGGCATATTGCTGAAATATTGCTGAAGACATTAAACCTAATTCAGTCTATCATACATAAATTGACAAAATAACTGTTTTTTTATATTTTGATTCGGGCACCTAATGCATCATCTGCACCACACACACTGTATCAATATTCAGGCTTATTATTAAACATTGCAACATTTCAGTGCGTACCGGAGTACCAGATATGTACCCCCAATGACCCCATGATGTCATGCTGTAACAACGGACAGTGTCAGTACAACAACGGACAGTTCACCTGCAGCTCAGGGAACGGACAGGTGACTTTATTGCGATTCCATGCAACATATTATTATGTGAGAGATGATTGGCTGCTGGATATCTTCCCATAGATTTTAGTCGAGTTGTTTTGGGGTGAAAACTTTGATTTGTCTCTCAAAATGACCGGGTTTGATTCATCACATGGGTACGATATCTGAAGCCAGTTTCTGGTTTTCCCGCCCCGGGAAATTGCTGGAATGTAGCTTAAAACGGCCTGACATTATACTCATTCATTCACTTGCCAATGAGAGTACATGTCATCGTGATGATTCCGCATTGTAATTGGACCCGAGCAAGCTTTGCTTCTTGTCAGGGCGACTAAATGATCGGGTGGTCAGACCCGGTGACTTGCTTGGTAGCGTGTCTTCGTACACCGATAGTGTGTGACATTACTCATAATATCAACCACTGGTTTTATTCGTCCAGACACGATTATTTCAAGGCTATCATTATGCAGCTGAAATATTGAGGCTTTTCACAAATTGTTGAAGGCGTTAAGCCCAACTCACTCTATCACACATTAATTTACAAAATATATATCTTTTAGTATTTTGATTTGGGCACCTAATCCATCATCTACTACATACTGTATCAATATGAGGTAATCAATAAACATTGCAACATCTCAGTGCGTCCCGGAGTACCAGATCTGTACCCCCAATGACCCCATGATGCCATGCTGTAACAACGGACAGTGTCAGTACAACAACGGACAGTTCACCTGCAGCTCAGGGAACGGACAGGTAACTTAATTACGAAAATCGATTATGATTCCGCACAACATGTTACACCGTGAGAGGGGGTTTGCTACTAAATATCTTCCCATAGATTTTAGTCGTGTTGTTTAGGGGATCAACAGCTCACTGTTGACTGCATAAAATCTTCCTTTGCCATGTTTCTTTTACACTTGCCAAATGACTTGCTTATACCAGCTGGTGGTGAAAACTTTGATTTGTCACTCAAAATGTCCGTGGTTTGATTTACCACATGGGTTCGATGTATGAAGCAAGTTTCTGGTTTTCCCGCGCCGGGATATTGCTTAAAGCGGACACACAGTATACTCACTCATTCACTTCTTAATAACAGCGCCTGTTCCCGTGCTGGTTCCCCATTTTAATTGGACCCATGCAAGATATACTTGTGGTCAGTGTGTCTTAATGGATCGGGTGGCCAGGCTCTGTAACTTGCTTGGTAGCGTGTCATCGTACCCAGACGACGTAGATCGTTGCTCATAACATCAATCACTGCGCTGTTTGGTCCAGGCTCAATTATTTACATGCCGAAGTCAAATAGCTGAAATGTTGAGAACAGCGTCAAACAACAAACGGCGTTTCGACTAATTATGACATTATTCTTTCTTTTAGTGTATTCCTGAATCCCAAACTTGCACCCCCAATGATCCATTCCGTACGTGTTGTAACAATGGTCAGTGTCAATACAGCAATGGTCAGTACAGGTGCAGCGCAGATAACGCACAGGTAAGTGTCGTGATGGGACCACGATCAAATCAATGCAGTTACAATGAAACAATTACTTTCCCCTGCAGTTCGTCGTTCATCATCTTCACAGGTTGTTGTGTTGTCAGGGGTGCAATGACGTGTGGTGTAGAATAACCTTTTAAGACATAGATTTAAAACATTTAATTGTACAGTAAACTACGGTTATAACGAACACGCTTATAACGAATTACGGTTATAACGAACTAAAATTACTAGTCCCGTTGAGTTCGTTATAACCGTAGTTTACTGTAACATGAAATTATCTCCAGTAAAATCTGGAAAGTAATAACCAAAGCACTGATATTTTTCAGTTATGTAATAACTTGGTGCAATATGCTAAGTTGATCAGAACGTTTCGTCGTGGCTCACAAAGCATCTGTGCTTCACACTATCAATCCTTGTCAAATACACGTCTTCAAGCGAGATAAACATACTATGTTTTTAATATCTACAGTACAACTAATTTTATTTTATTTTAAGGAATTACGAGAATAGCATATAAGCCATGGCTACAATATGTCCACTTTTGGTATCACTGCCGAGAGATAAAAATAATGTTTGCTAAAATCAGGTTACTTCTTTTTCTTATGATTTTAATAATGAATTTATATGCCGTTTTACTGTCATATAACTCCCAATTCGCGATATGGCGTGAAGTTTACTTTCAATCGTTCAATAAATATTAGAAAGTGCAGATATGTTTTGACGTCATCATGATCATGTCATTTGGTTTTTTTCAAGATAAATTTGGAGGATTATCTTGCTAAACATCACGTAATACACACCTGTTATAAAGACCATCGAGTATGTGTCCAGGGTTAAATTAATACTGAAACCTTGTGGTTGTGTAATGTATGCCCGATGCAATTCACTGTTATGTTCCCGTTTTTACTGGACTTGCTTTGCCTTTGCCTGTGCTTGTGACGGATGCTAAAGATGGGGGCAGGAAATGCCCACCTTTTCGCGAACGCCTGATGTCACCACTATGTGATAGTCATTCACAAACACGTACTTACAGTATAGTCAGAATCGAAAAGTGGACTTGGATTTTGCATGTATATACATCCCACAATCCATCACCAGGTTGGGACACTGTTCCAATAAAATACATGTACATAAGAAACATATGACTCAGCCAATGCAATAAAATGGTTTATTCAAAATATGAAGACTGATAATACTTTATTGGGAAATGTCAGAGCGAAAGTGCAACACTAAACGCAAGTAATCAGGATTTCTAATACATACACTGTCCTAAGCTACATGTATATCATATGAATCAAACAATATAGCAATATGAGTATTCTTGCGGCTTATGTCGTTATTCGTCTATCATATTCGCTTATATCATAAACTTGTAATATAAATGAAATACTTCTTGGTTTATTTTTAGTGTCGACCAGTCGGAAGTGAATGCAACGCTGTCAACAGGTGCTGCAAATATTACGCTTGCCTCCCTTCGGCCGGTGGGCGGACAACGTGCCAGTATTACTTTAATGCACAAGTCGAGGAAAACAACCCCAAAAGCGGGGCAGAGGAGGTACCAGAAAGACAAGGACTGACCACTGGAGGAGAAACAGCTGAAGGTGAAGGTCATGAGAACAACCATAAACCTGATGAGTCTCCAGACAGTGGGGAGATTGCCCTTGGCACTGAGCATAAGAAAGGGGAGGAAGAGGGTAGTATTGAAGCAGCAGTTGATGGCGAAACTACAGAGGCAGATGACATGGCGCCTGTGATTCCGGTTGTGCCTTAAGCTTTCATTGTCTCTCAGTGTCTGTGTATTGATGCCTAAAGATGGGTCGTCAACAGTAATCAGAAGGAATGGTTGCACGTGTAATTGAATTTGGACAGAAATATAGTTGGTGTGTAACGTGATTTAGACAAGCTTATGGTGTGGATGTTGGAGACAATGTTTTATGCGAATGAAAATAAAAAAAAGTTTTTCTGTCTAAAGTTAGTTGACTCTCCATACCGATGTCAGGATTTTATAAAGCATAAAGATCCAAAAGGAATACTGTCACTTAGTGAGTAACCGTGAATGATAAGGACACGGTTTATCATTGGTTGTCGTATTCCAACACTTGTTTTGATAAATGTTCAAACATGAAAATACTGAAACATTGACACACGCAAACGTCTGTTAATAAATAGTGCATGTACAAATAAGAGTTTTCTGTGTGACACCACATTAGGACATCGTGTTAAATATATATGTGTTCCGAATCTGAGTGTTCAATATGATATCCGAGTGCCCCTTATATGCTTATCATACTTTACACCGCTGTGACGATTACTGGTCAGAAGAGTCCCCCAGTAACTCATTACGTGACACCCTACCCCATGGATGTACGTCGAGTGCCTGGTTCAGCTTCAACCTAGTCTTGTCAAAAGTCACAGTGATATGTCCGAAATATTGCTCCTTATTTTTCATTCCTCGAAATGCACATTCAGAGTCAGTACAGGGGCGGTCGGGTAGCCTAGTGGTTAAAGCGTTCGCTCGTCATGCCGAAGACCCAGGTTCGATTCCCGACATTGGCACAATGTGTGAAGCCCATTTCTGGTGTCCCCCACCGTGATATTGCTGGAATACTGCTAAAAGCGGCGTTAAACCATACTCACTCAGAGTCAGGACAAGTCGAACTGTAATAACATCACAGCAATAACATAAAATCTTTGATATGCATTTAGAAGTAGGAAGAACATGAATACATGACACTTCTTTTAAAAAAAACCTACTTCTGTCGTTCTTTGTAACGACGTCTCAGAGCTACTTCATGTCCCTTCGTCAGGTGAATACTGGGTGATCGTATAGAGTTAATGTACAAAGACGAAGCCAGTGAGATTAACAGAAGAGAAGCCAGTTAAGTACAATGAAGTTGTCGTGATATAGCTGGGTGTCACAACAAGGGGCATACTGTGGTAACACTAAATAGCAGCATCAGCTGACGAAGTGAACGCTCACATTTCTCTGTGTAGGCATCTTTGTCCGACATATACCAACTCACAAAGCACCCTTCTAAACAGAAGTACCGAACAAGCTTTCTTGACTGGGGTCATATATGTGTCATGTTAGAAACAGTGCGCTGGAAATTGACAGCAGAGTGCCTTATAAAATCATTGGAAATAACCTGTGTATTCATCTAGATTCAAGTTAACCAATATACATGTATAACGTGTGGACCTTTATATGGTCGGATCCACAAGGTTCTGTTTATATTCCAAGAATTAAACAACACGATGTTTATACAATTAGAAAATGTACCTAAGAAACAAGGGCCACGGCAACACGTTGACGTTGTTGGCTGCAAGGAATTCTGTAGATTCGGGCTGTATGGGGTCTGGCGTTGTCACGCTGATAAAGGGCAAGACGTGACAGCTGTTGTAGAATTGTAGGGCAATTGGACGAAGAATGTTATCCATGTAACCAGTTTACCAGTGATGTTCTCTTCTGCCTATAAATTTTCTCCCCACACCATAACATGCCCTCCACCATACGGCACGACCTCCTAAACGCAACATGCCACCGTTCGTTCTCACCTTCTGCGGTAAACACGTTGTTTCAATCTGTAATGACGATGGTGCGCTGTCAATAGCTGGCCTCTGTAATGTCCGTAAGCCCTAATTCCTTGAGACCTGAGTCGCCCAGCCACTGTCTGTCGACTAACTGTATGCCCTAAGGCATTCATCGCTGATGACGTCACTCTCAGGATTCGATTCCGGAGATGCAAGGTAGGCAAGTACATGTCTTCATTGGGCGCAGTGTCCCTAAGTCTGCCGGTTTTTGGCCTGCCTTATGTCTGTCCGGTCTGTCTGTAACTTTGCATCAGGTTTGTTACAGCAACACGGGGCCAACCAAAAGTGCTGGCAATGTGGGCATTGGTGGCTCCCATCTGTATCATACACAGGGCCCGCTCGAGTTGTTATTTCTGTGGTATTTTTTTTTATCAGTGTGAGTGTCTGACATGTCGTCCGCATCATTTATATACCCTTACTGTGCTCGTAGTTTCGGCTGCCCAAGCAGCACGTGTTTTTCATTTTTTTCGCATTTTCCCCAACATCAAAATACGTGCCGTGGACGTGTATTACTTCCTGCATAGAGCATTGTTGAAACAAGTGGATTTGATAGCATGTGGATTCTCAAAAACGCAAAGGATTGTTTTAAGTTTCCCAATCTCAGAAAAAAACCAAGTTCTATAATGTCAATGATTGTATTTACTTCACCATAATCCCACAATTTGTCAAAACAAAGCTCATGGCATCTGAAGTGAAAAATCTTAAGTGAAATTTTGGACATCCTCCTTGATAAGATCTACGTGAAATTTGGGGATAAGACTCCTCTTTTCCTTTCATATGTCACTCCTCCGTGGTTGTTTATAGTGAAATAGTTGGCGAAAATATATTTTAATACTACATGTACATAACATAAAGCAGACAATCGTTTCAAAGAAGTGAGGAAGCGGGGGGGGGGGGGGGAGGGGGGGGGGGTAGCCTAGCTAGTGGTTTAAGTGTTCGATAGTCACGACGAAGACCTGGGTTCGATTCGCGACATGGGTACAATGTGTGAACCCATTTCTGGAATATCCCACCGTGATATTGCTGGCATTTTGCTAAAAGCGGCGTAAAACCATACTCAATCACTCACTCAAAGTTGTGTGTTATTGCCCAGATCAATGTCGCCCTTTCTTTTAAGTTTTAGACATTCTTACCACTATTACGTATAGAGACCGCTGAAATGGTACACGGAGACAGGAAAGACCATGGTTTTCTGTGACTTACCAGTGACTTATTAGCCCCTCAAATGCCAAATGGTGAAACAGCACAAAATGTCTATATGTGCCCTCATCCTCAGACATGTAAAACACTAATGTATCACAGATAACCAGGAACGTATCTATATTCATTACATCACCCAGTCTAAAGAATTAACTTGAATTTGCCACAGCGAACATATAATGTATTGCATATGAAGTACCTGTAACATCTGCTCTTGTATCGACGTACATCAGAATTTCAGTCATATCTGAAATGAATATACAGTAAACTACGTTTATAAGTAACACGCTTTTAACGAACTGACGGATATGACGAATTTTGTTTTGGCCCCGGGCAATTGCTCTATATTTTGCCATATACAGTTGATAGATATAACGAAGACGCTTGTAACGAAAAAACGGATATAGCGAACTAACTTTTTGGCCCCATGTGTAGTTTGTCAACGACAATATTTATGTTCATAACGAACTGTTAGAATCTGAGCTGCTCACGCGTCACAAATCAGCCTGTCAAGACATCCGTGAACACGCCCGGCTGTTCAAAGCGGCAATAAGCAATTGAAGGCAAGTGATTAACAGGGTTAGTACTGACACTTGTCCTCAATTTACACCCTCAATTAACAATAGTAAAACAGTGATTAGGCTGTAAAATTTGAAGTTGTTTTTTTTTTAAAATATTACGACTAGAGTGGGGAAATTCAGTATAATTGATGAAATTATGATGGAATGGAATAATTTCTTCCGCGAAGGTACATGGATTAATTGCTTCGAGCCCGATACTCATATTTTCAAGGGTCTCTATGAAAATCAGGGTCCTTGATGTGGCGGCAAATGCATGCTACAAAATGTAATATGTATCTCAAGTGTTGTTTTGAACATTAACATAATGTTGAGAAGACTGTAAATTGAAAGGGTTTCATATCCATATATTTCCAAGATTACATGAAAATTAACATATCTCGAAAAAGCCACTTGACAAATCTTATGTCAAATAACTGTCTGCACGGTTTTTTAAAACGAAATCATTGTGTGTCACGTGTTATTATTTTGACTGAAAAAGATTTACACAGGTCATTGTGAAACATTAAAATGGCGGCCGTTTTTGGTCAAGATTTAGTTTCGTGTGTACTTGAGAAGAGACGTCCCTGATGATAGTCGGTAGCACCCGTGATGATGTCCGTTAGTATACAGAAAGGCGCACGTGATGATGTCCATTAGTATACAGTGAGGCGCATGTTGTGATTGCCGTTAAAATACACAAAACGTCCCCAATGATGATCGTTAATGTACAAAAACGACGTCTGTGATTATGGCCGTTAATACACAGAGGGGCGCGCGTGATAATGGCTGTCTGTATACAGAGAAACGCTCGTTACGATGGACGTTAGTATACAGAAAGACGCATTTGATGATGGCCTTTAGTATACAGAAATGCGTCCGTGATGATGCCCGTTAATATATAGAGATTATTACGTTTGTGGGCTTGGGGATGGTAAATATCTTGTATTAGGAATAAACATTGTATACTCTTCAAAACAAGAAACGCAAAGCCAGATTTGTGTGAGGTAGGTAAATACATATATACGAGGAACCGTACAAGGTATTGAGCCAAAATGTTGTAGAGAAAACACTTGGTGATTGTAGTCATCTCAGTTATCGGTACATAGGGAAAGCCCAAGGTGAAGGTAAGCTACCATCAACAAAGCGTATTTCCCCCGTTGGAATCGATAACGGCCTGACATCTCCTGCCCATGGAACAGACGAGTATTCCTGAGGAATGGTAGCCTACTCGGCCTGCAACGCAAAAGCCAACTGCTGCAACGTCTGGGGTTGTGGTTGACGTCGGCGTCTATCCAATTCATCCCACATGTGCTCTATCGGGTTCAAATCGGAGGATCTGGAGGGCCAGGGGAGGACATCAACGTTGTTGTTGTGCAGACAGGCTCTTGTGATCCGTGCTGTATGCGGTCGAGCGTTGTCCTGCTCGAATACACCGTTGGCGCTGTAATTGGGGGGACGTGTGTTAGGAGAATTTCGTTGA